TTCGTTATCTCCTGTTAGCAGCTCTACTGCCAGCATGTTGTGGTCAGAACACGCAGAGCACCTCGTCTCTTTTGGGTCGCGGGACACATTTACTGACACCGCTCCAAAATTAGAATATCATCATGGAACCACCATTAAATTAGCTGCTTCTGACATTTTAAATGCTATTGCAGTTGTACTATCAGCAAAAATGTGCGCATCAGAACCACAGCATGCAGGACTTCTTGTTTTCTTCTGGGTCTGTGGCTCAGTCCCGCCCCCGTCCTTTTTTTGTCCAATGGGAGCAATGATCGTCAGCCTGATGGCTTTGTTTACAAGTTATAGTTCATTTGCAAAAAAGCACAATGTGAATGCAAACAGCATCAAACGAAAAAAAAAAAAATAAAGTCCATTTTTGGACCAAACAATTGGACCAAAGGACTTTCCTGGTCTGAATACACCCTATGATGTTAGAACCCTCTCAGTTCTTCTGCTTATTATGACTAAAAATAACTTTGTACACATGAGACTGATGTCTTTTGGTTTCCTGCAAGTCAATATTTGAACTTATGATGTGATTCTGTATTTATCTGAACAAAAGATCACACGTTTATTTTAAGGAGAATCTGTTGAGACAAAAGTGTTCCGATTGGACGACTGTTGCATTGATTTACTTTACCTCACAAATCAATCTTGTTTAAAGTTGTATGTCAGGAAAAACTGAATTTCCTTCAGCATGATAAGTAGTGACAGCTGCAGTAACAACTGAGGCAGAAAAACTCAGCACTGGTTGAGTTAACATGGCCACCAGGTGCTGCGAGTTAAACTCTATAAGTGATCATTCTCACTGTAGATCCTCCAAAAGCTGCTCTCAACCCTCAGGACACTTTTGTTTTTGTTAAATATATTTGTAAGAGTTTAGATGTCAGTGACAACCACACAAGATGAATGTTTCACACAAACATTAAACATGAACATATACATCTCACCGTTCTCAGACCACACCAGGGTTCAGCAGGATTATAAAAAAATGTTTGAAGATGAAAAACAGGCCGGGATTCAAGAATGTGTCTGAGTTCACCGCCAGGCTCAAGARTTTTCTCAAGAAAAGTGTGACATCGAGGCCGTTACACAGAACTGTTTCAAATTACTGGTAAATTTAAAAAAAARGAAAAAGAAAATCAATTTAAATACTCAGGATTAAATAATCTCCTTAAATGTGAAGAAGCAAAGTACTGAGCTGTGACAGTAGTTATAATAATAGTTTAATTTAAACCTAATTTTGAGACACTTCTGGGTTGACCTTAGAACAGGAGGCCTGAGGAGACTGATATTTATATCCTTCGTTCCAGCTGAAGAAAAATAGTCAATACGACCAGCTGCCACTGGATGCAAACAAAAAGACATTTCAGATTCATATACAGAGCATGTTTAGAGGAAGACCAAAAAAAAAAAAAAAGAAACAATGAGAGTCAGCACCCTCAGAGACGATACATGAAGGATCTGCTGATTGTGTTTGTTTACGATTTCTGACAAGAATATTAAAACTACACAAATAACAAAAGCCAAACTATGGAGCCCGCGAGAGGACATGGGAGTTTTTTTTCTTTTGCGTTCCCATGCAATAATATTGCATTACCTCGCAATACCTTTTGTGTTCCCTCGCAAAAGTAGTTTATCACTGTTGTGCCTGCCGGTTTATTA